AGGTTGGGACCGGCATGAAAAATGGCCCATACAAAATGTGCATTTATCAAAAGAAGTCGCATCGATGCCCTGTTATTATCACACTATATCTATCCCCGCAACTACATCATCAACGCGCTGCTGCCACTCATCGGGAACAGTATCCCCAATCACATATTCTTCTGCCGCACCGTATGTAGCTCGATCAATCTTCAGGATTTCATTGAATGCCCTGCATAGAATGTCAGCTAATTATCAATGAAGAAGAATGAAGGGATGGTAGCCCACCTCGCTGTTTTAGAGGCCGAGGATCCTGCTCTTGTTCGGATAAATTCAAGGCGTGCATCGGTCAGATTCCAAAATTTTTCGCCACCATTGCATTCGGCGTGAACCGCACGCTAAAATTGCTCCAGTTCAGAAGGCAATATTGTGGACAAAGGACAAGAAGACACTTACCATGAGCGCAACACGGGAGCACAGCTGGATCGTCGTGCGACAAGGCGTGGAGTGAACAATCATCTGCGCAAGCGAAAATATATTGGTATTTGCCTTTATACTGTCTTTAATCTGTATAACAATAAAGCGTAAGCACTCCATTGCTCCATTGAAAAGAGGAATAATATTAATACACATACCAATTTCTTCACTCTGGCGCGGGTTTGAGTTAGTGAATAACCGACAAACATTGATATCTTCTCCCAGTTGGCATAATCGTGCTCAATGCCCGCTGGCAAATCAAAACGATACCTCTTGAGAATATCCTGTAGGAAGATTAATTGCAACATTCCTGTAATAGACAAAATACGGACAAGAACATGGTTACGAGGGATGTCGCCCTTATAAGCACTGACATTGATGGAAAGCAAGACGGCTATGCCATAGTTAGTGATATTGGTCTATTATATAAAGCAGTTTAGCTGCGAGACACTGGGGACAGGATTGACACATACTTTAAGCTCGTCAGATAATTGGTAGGGTGGTGCAGCTGATCGGAAAGTATCGATTTTGTTTTCTAAGGACAGGATGCATGCAAATAACTTGGCCTGTCGTCCAAGCACCGTGTCCTGGTCGATGTTTAGACACGAGCGCAAAAGATACGTTAAAGGAGTACTCACCAACAAGAAGGCATCTACCTCATCACGTTGCTCGGGACGAAGCTTCTTCTTCGATACATAACATAGAGTCGCAGCTGCTACATTGCTAATGGAAGGCAATGATTGAGGCTGTGTTGTCGAAGGGGGTCCGTCATCAGGTTCAGTATCATTACCATCTGTTGAACCATCAACTTGACGCGTTCGCTTCCCAAGAACCGGTTCTGGGGTCGGGCTTGACCTCATCATGGCATCTTCCATAGCTTGTTCGGCTGGTGAAAGGA